TTATGTGGACAGCAAAAGCAAGGGCCATAGGTGTAGGTGGTGGTGATCTCAGCTGGAGCCAGTCATGCTGCTGAAGGGTGGAGATGAGAGGTAAACATGAGTGGGAAAATCATAATTGTGCGAGAACAGTCAGTGGTTATGAGTGTGGAAGTGTGGTTACGTGAGGGTTATGCTGATCACGAAAAAATAATGTCAGGTCATCCCAGACACACCAAAAACCCCTAATACTGCACTACTATAGAAAAGTGGGCAAATATTGCAAAGTCTAGATGTGCAAAGTCTCACACACACACACACACACACACACACACACACACACACACACACACAGAAGGAGGACCCAATTGCAGTGTGAGTAACAAGGGTTTGACAAAATAGATCAATACAAAAGGGTTGTGAGGTGCACAGGTGATACCACAACAGGAACACAGAAAACAGAGATAGCTAGGGAAGGCCACTGGAACAGCCTCAGACATCAACTGGCAGAATACTATAGCAGCAGAGGAGGTGGCAAGACCAGGCCGGTGGAGAGACCAGAGCAAGGCACCAGAGAGCTGAGCTCAGATACTTATTGACCATAACTCTGAAGCACCCCAGACGCCAGGCAAGGGAACCAGTGGACAGGAACAGGTCAGGACAGGAACTCTAACACCACAAGACAAAACACGGCTCCACAGGAACAAATTACTCCAAGACAGGCAAGAGAATAAACAAAACAAAAAGGACAAAAAAAAAAAATTAAAATTAAATTACCCAACACGAATAACAAATAATCAACCAATAAATGAAAATAAAAGATCAGGACTAAGAGAACTAAATTAATACTAAAATAAAAGCAAAAAGACAGACTAAATCCAAAAAAAGGAGCAAGACAAGAACAAAAAATTAGGGCAAGACTAGAGCACAAGATCAAACAGACAGGGAGACAGGAACACGTACTCAGCCACATCCACAGACAGAGATAAACACAGTGAGGGAAAGAATGACCACGGACCGGCCAAGACAGTAGGGCAAGGGGCACTATAAATAGGGAGGAAAACGCACGAGGAACAGGTGAGCACAATTAGACCAACAAGGCTAACAAGAGGGTGTGGTAAAGAGGAAACAAGGAGGAGGGGCTAGAGAAGCACATGGCTGAGAAAAACAAACTAGGCCATGTGCTGACACAGGACAACAGACACAAGACAAATGGAGTGTCAGGGCAGAACCCTGACACTACCCCCCTCCCAACGGACACCTCCTGGCGTCCAATTCCACCAAACAGATCATAGTTGCCAGATTGAAAGTGCAGGCAGCGGTGGGAGGGGAGGGGGTGTGGGGGGGGCTTGAAGTCAGAGTCATAAGTGGTTAGAACTGGGCTGGAGCAGACTGTACAGGAACATCTTCAGAGGTCATGACATGGAGAGCAGTATACTCGGGGACAGCCTCCACAGGTGAAACATGACTAGCAGGAGCATACTCTGAGGGACTCGTCAGAAACAGCAGATAGCCAGTCTGGTATGATCTCAGTGGGCGCAACTTCACTAGTAGTAACATCCTCCAAGGGACTTCTTCAAAAAGCAGCAGATAGCTGGTCTGGTATGATCTCAGTGAGTGTAACTTGACTAGCTGGAACAACCTCTGAGGGCATGACAAGACAAACAGGAACACATCTCCATGGCCATGACCCAACTGGCAAGGACAACCTTAAAAGGACATAACAGGACAGACAGGAACATTTTATATGGCCATAACTTGACAGGCAGGAACACCTATGGCCATGACCCAACTGGCAGGAACGACCTCTGTAAGCGTGACAGGACAGGCAGGAACACTTTATATGGCCCAGACATGACAGGTAAGAACACCACTTGAGGGCTTGACAAGACAGGAACAATCTCTATGGCCATGACCCAACTGGCAGGGACAACCTCTGAGGACATAACAGGACAGGCAGGAACACTTTGTATGGCCCAGACAGAATAGGTAGGGACAACCTCTGAAGGCATGACTTAACAGACAGGAATGGTCTCCATGAACTTGACTGGCAGGAACCACTTCTGTGGATCTGACACAACAGGCAAGAGCCATCTCTATGGACTTGACAACTGACAGGAACATCTTCTGTGGACATGATAGGTAGGAGCAATCTCAATGGACTTGACTGGCAGGATCAACTTCTGAAGGCGTGACATGAAAGGCTGGAACGGTCTCTGGCATAACTTCTGTAAACAAGTCAAATAGACCGGGAGGCTTGGGAGAATACGTCGTAACGGTTACTTGACGCTCTGACACCAAGGCCAACGAACTAGCCCCCTCTGGACTCACAGGGCTTGAGGGTTCTTTACTCGGGTCCTCCTGGACCCATGGGTTGAGTCTTCATAAGGAAGGCCCATAAGTTGAAATGCATGTCCCCTCCTTCTCCACATATGAGGGGGATGACAAAATATTGATCAGCCAACAGGGTTAATTGAAGCAGACTTGATTGACTCCGAGGTGGCTACAATGGCCTGGGTCAACACTGGAGTGACCCGAAATGACTTGACTGCAATTGGTGATGGAGATTTACCGCTGATTACTGAACCGGCTTTACTGACAAGATGCGAGTTAAATAATAGCATGCGATTTATCATGCAGCCCTAGAATAAACAAAACGACTAATAAAAAAGAAAAATACTTATTATCCAACACGAATAACTAAAATATCAACCAATAAATGAAAATAAAAGATCAGGACTAAAAGAACTAAATTAATACTAAAATAAAAGCAAAACGACAAAAACAGACCAAATCCAAAAACAAGGAGCAAGACAAGAACATAGAATTACAAGAGACAAGACCAGGGCAAGACTAGAGCACGACTAGAGCACAAGATCAAACAGACAGGGAGACAGGAACACATACTCAGCCACATCCACAGACAGAGACAAACACAGTGAGGGAAAGAATGACCACGGACCAGCCAAGACAGCAGGGCAAGGGGCACTATAAATAGGGAGGAAAACGCACGAGGAACAGGTGAGCACAATTAGACCAACAATGCTAACAAGAGGGTGTGGTAAAGAGGAAACAAGGAGGAGGGGCTAGAGAAGCACATGGCTGAGAAAAACAAACTAGGCCATGTGCTGACACAGGACAACAGACACAAGACAAATTGAGTGTTAGGGCAGAACCCTGACAGCAGTAGTCTTTTTGGTATTGGAATACATGTATCTTTCACATATACATAGCCTACATACATACTGTACATATGTATATGTTTCAAGTGTCAAAATGGTTTGTAGCCATTGTGAGCATTTTTGTACTTACGTGACAAAAGTGTCATGATGTCCATGGAAGGCAGAATCTGAGAATCTGTTTTAATATCTCTAAATATCGGTTACACTGATACTTAAAGATAAATAATATATTACTCACCCTGTAAATACACTAAAGAAGTGATTTTATATAGAGGAAATATAAATAAAACACTGAAAGCAAAGACAAAATATTTAACTATGCAAACCATTGCTAAAGTTTAAACCTGTTAAACGGTTTCATTTAAAACATTGACCTGTATACAGGTTATTCAGGTCCCTCTATAATACTGTAAAAACACAACACACACACACACACACACACACAAATACATATAATACCTCAGTAGAGGCGGAAACAATGCCATTTCTTTATACCTTTTCTCAGAAATCATGCTCTGTGCTAAAATGCCTGCAGAACAAGACAAAAACACAAAACCCAAATGAAATATGCTCTGCAATAAGAATTTATTATAGCTTGTGACAGACACACTTTGCAGGTTAGATCTCTGTTCTTTGCATTGAGGTGAATAGATTTCTGCATAGTATTTGTAATTCACAGAGAAAGGCCATTAACAGGGAAAACAGTCTCGTGGAGTTAAAACAGGTACACCCCAAGCACTTATTATATTCATACAAAATATATGTATAAAAAACAAAAAAAATATTAAGGAAAAACATTTCAAGTAACATCTTGAAAGAAATGACTGTGCACCTAAGTGCACTTTGTAAACCATATATAAACTAAAATAAAATAAAAAAGGATAATATATGTTTATTTACAAGGTTAACTTAAGCAAGGCTTTGTACAAATGTTACAAAATCGTTTGACACACACATCCTCGACCACATAATGTATACACAGGCAATTTCAGACACACATACACACTCATATGAAGTGATTTCACCAATGAGCTGTTACTCAGTGTAGATGAACATGTGGGAAGGGGAACACACCACACTGCCTCTTATGGATCTTAAAGTAATGAGTTACTGGTAGAATTATGCACCTGCTCTGAGCTCAATGGCCTATGTTAAAACTAGTTAAAACTGTCACTATCAACACTGTTCCTGTTTGCTAACACTGTTTAGCCAATACTGTACCGGCATGTTTGAAGAATTGGTTCATCTGGGATTTGAAAACACAAAAGCACTCCTTGGCATGTGAGTCGTGAGGGTCTTGGCAGTCATTTAAAGAGCAGAATGTTGTCATGTAACTGGCCAAGGAAGAAAGGAAGAAGGAAGAAGAAAACTTTGGCAACACTGAAAAGCCCCTTTGTCTTGCAGGTTTTACCTTGCAAGTAAATCTGAGTAAAAGTAATGAAAATTTGACTTAACTGAGGGCTTTAAACAGTTTTTATTTTGTATTCACAGAGCAACCTAAAGGGCCGTTCACACCGACAGTGATTTGCAGTGACAAAGTGACTGGTTTCATTTTCACTGAGAATGATTTGAGGATGTGATGCAGCAACAACAGGAATACAGACCAGGGCTAGGCAACATTTTAGTTTCAGCTCCCTTTCAATTCAAGGAAATTCCATACAATCAAATTTGGTCACACCCTACTGGAAGTTGATTTGGAATTAGAATTAGAATTAAAGGAATTAAAGTGGAACTTACAATTCAAAGAAATTTCAACAGGTAAGGATACTCTGGGAAATTAACCCCTGGTTTCACAGACAAGGCTTAAGCCTAGTTCCAGACTAAAATGTAAGTCTGAACTTGCACTGATTGATCTTAAAATATGTCAGTGCCATTGTTTTGTCTCAAGATGCACACAAGTAATGTCTTTATCTAAGGCATGTTTATTAAAAATTACTTAAATGTCCTAATTGAACTATGGCCTAATTCTGGCTTAATCTAAGCCCTGTCTGTGAAACCAGGCCTAAGTGTTTTTCCACCTTGGTCCATAAAATGAAACAATTTGTAAAAAGCAAAAATCTACATAAAAATAAGTACAAATGTCTATAGGTGACATCAAATGAGGCAGAAGTTTGTCTTGATAACTCTTTAATTTCTCATTACAAATGACGCTTAGGGTGTTTTCACACCTGGCTTGCTTGTATCGTTTGTTTCAGAACCTGACACATTTTCTACTTTAGTTGAGTTATTTTAGAAATGATAATCACACTCAGATCCACACCAAAACAATCGGTCTGAGAACGGCTGAACGAGGTGGTCTTGGCCCGACTGAAACCGAACTCTAAAGTGGTTTGCTTTTGATGAGAACGCAATCTGACCTAATGAACCAACAATCCAAGCTGTATCCTAATTCATAATGTGAAATGCGTTCAGTGTTTAATTCGGTGGGTGAGCACATTATTTATCATAGTTGAAAACCAAAGAGCATCTCTTCATTTAAAAATGTTATTGCTCTTCTCTGAAACAGGTGTATTGCAAGAATGCTGACCCAATGAAGCCTTGATATACATATACATTGAAACATATGAGTGTGTGCATCAATCCATTCTGACGGATGACACGATGAGCGGATTCCTGGAACATAAACAGGTGCGATCTGACCAATGAGAGGACCGTTTTACACACATGTGACTTGCATAAACACATTTTGGTAAGTGAAATGTTGCCTTGTGAAAGCGAACCGAACCGAGGAGAAAGTGCAACATTGCAACAATTTAAGACCCTGTTCCGGAACAAAGCATTACAGGTCTGAAAATGCCCTTGTTGTAGTTTTATTTGAATTTCAGTTACTTTTAAATTCCACTTAATTCAATTAAAATTTCAATTCTGTTTGCTACCTCAATTTAAATTCTGTTCAAATTCAAACTCAGTTTAATTTTGAATGGTGCACAATGACGCTCACATCATCCGCCACGAGATAGTTGGACACTGCAGTGAGTATGAACACCTGGCAGTCAACAGTACTTGGCAACCACATAATCGCTGTCAGTGTGAACATACTGAGGACACAGCTACAACACAACCCAAATCCAGCTCTCTTGGTTCACTAGCCTGTACACACCATCACTGGTACAAGAAATCACGAAAGCGCGAGGTAGGCAGGACCCGTTGTGCAGTAGGGTCTTCAGTCTCTGAGCACTCTGGGTGGGACTCTCCAACGTCCTGGTTTTCAACAGGGGAGGGTGAAGCTAGCGGTTTGGGGGGTGGCGCAGGTGTTTTTTTGTCTGAACTGTCCGTAGGAGAGACCACCACAGTGTGCCTCCTCCATGCACGTCTTTTTCGGCGCGTCTCTGGCGAGAGCTGCTTCCTCAGGCCAATGCTGCGTAGATCATCCGCCGAGCCCATCAGACGAGCCCGAACCTGATCCGCCAGGGAACCCTGCCCAGTGGACAAGAAGTAGCTTCTGGGACTGGCTGCGGATGTTGCCATGCACTCATTTCGCCCGCTAACCCCTTTGGAGGAGGATTTGGCTTTTGGGGAAGGAGACAGAGAGGAATCAGGGATTTGATTTGCACCCGACCGCCGTTCTCCCTCCGTGGCGGAGGAGCTGGACAGTTCCAAAAGGTCCACTGAGGGTGCTTTGGCTTTGTCTGCCTTTAGCCGACGCCGTGCGAGGGTGTCGCACTGTATGAGGCGGTGGGAGTTAAAAGAGTGGCGGCTGTGGAGGCGCTGGGAAGCGGATGATGAGTAAGAGGAGGTCGAGGGAGTAGATGAACGTGCTGCGCCATCTTCAGGACTGGTTGTGAGGGAAGGAGGAGGCGGAGCAAAGGTTGTGCCAGAGGCAGCAGAAGGTGTCTGCGATTTGCAGTGTGCATAGAGAAAACTGCGTGGTGCGGTTGGTTCGGGTGAGGCGTGTGGGTTCTGGCTTGAACGGCTTGGTTTTTCTGGCCTCTCTTGGGTGAGGGAGCGTGAAGCAAATCCACTTTCGTTATCGGTTTCACTCACCAGTTCACTATGCTCATCATCTGCATCTTCACCGCGCCCCTCTGATGCTAAACTCCGCCCCAGAGTGGACAGAGTAGAGTAACCTGACACAATAGACCGTGCATCATCTCCTCGCCAGCTGCAACCTTTCACTTCAGACCTTTGCTCTTCCTCCTCACTCAGCAGCACTGCTGGTGCCGCTTCCTCTGTGGAGGAAATGCTGGGAACTACTTCTTCTTTTTGCTCTTGTGCCTTCTGTCTCTCACCCTCCTCCTCCTCTTCCTCCTCTTCTTCTTCATCATCTTCTCCCTCCGCTCGAGGGGCACAGAAAGATGCGACCTGCCCCATCTCTTGCAAGTCGTCTTTTTCGGAGATGCAGGATTTAAGGGGTTCATGCTCAGAATCGTCGTCTGTGCTGCTGCCGAGGAGACGGCCGTTCTGCCGTTTCCGGCGTTTGCGGGTCACAGCCGACATAATCGAAAACGTCAGGATATCCTTGGGAGTAAAGTCACGTTTTGATCCCCACGACCCCTAAGTATTAAATATTTCAAAAATTAAATTCAAACAAATACATTAATATTAATTATTATGAAAAATTTATTATCAAATATGTATTAAATTAGATTGCTTTTACAGAAAAGTATTACTAATTTAAAGTGATCAAAAGCATCCAGATCCCTACAGTATTCTCTTTAACCTTTAATACACAACAAACATATTAAATCGTTTTTGGTCAATACTGACCTTAGATTTTGCAGAATCACTGTTGGTTGAGTCTGGACAGTTAAAAACAGGGAGAGACAGGGAGAGAGGAAGTTAGTGAAATTAACAAATATTTTGGCACCATGTTAAATATATGCTGTATTAATGAGAGGCACAGAGGAGGATCAACCTTGTGATTGTCAGTAAGTTAACTTTATACATTAATAAACAAGACCTGTAGCAGCCTCTGTGTCAATCATTAAGCATCACCCCCATAAACAGTGATTGTGAGACAGTGTTCACACAAGATCCAATATAAACAGCATCTGTGTAATAAACAACCAGCCGTTGATTGTCAGTTAATTTTCCAATGTGAACAGGGTCTTAGAAGAAGAAGTGAAGGAGCCCATATATGCAGCGGTAAAGATAAAGCGCACACTGATGACATCACATAACATACTGATGACATCGACCCATGAAAGAGCTAAGGGAAGGCAAGGGCAGAAACTGTAATTGTCAGAGGGGCAGAAAGACGAAACAAACACAAGTTGCCAGCACACACAGGCCCCGTTTACCTGGCTTGGGTGTCACTTTAGAAGTTTTCTAAAAGTTACGAATTGTGAAGGCTTAGCTCTTCAATATTATTTAGATTTTGCACAAATAATTTTACATGGCATTTACGTTTGTGATACATACCACTAGCGTTCAAAAAATGTTAAATGAGAGGACATAAAATTACATTTACATGTAAAGTGACAGTAAAAGACTGCAAAAAAACTGTTTTCAGGGAAAATAGTTTTCAACATTGATGATAATAAGAAATGTTTCTTGAGCAGCAAATCAGCATATTATAATGATTTCTGAAGAGTCATGTGACACTGAAGACTGGAGTAATGATGCTGAAAATACAGCTTTACCATCACAGAAATTGAAACCAATTACATTTTAAAATATATCTAAATAGAAAACATTATTGAAAGTTCTTTGTAATAATAGTTCATTATATTAATGTTTTTGCTGTATTTTCGATCCAATAAATGCAGCCATACGAAACCTCATTCAAAAACATTAACAAAAATCTGACTGACCCGGTTTGAACAGTACTGTATATTGTATAGTCAATACTAAGCAATACCTGCTTATATAATATTTATACCTATATTTAGACCTACATTATCATGTTCAAATAATGACAAAATATTAGATACACCCCTGCCATGAGCTATTCTGTTTGAATATGGTTGCTTTGAAAGAGAGGATAAAAAAGTATCCTGTTGACAGCTGTATTTAGCACTTCAAATTAACACAGAAGTGAACAGCACATGTAAACGAGGCCATAAACACCTCCATAACTTGTGCAAATAGCCATTAAACACACACTCATGAACACACACACACACACAGAGTGCAGGGCAGGGGAAACCCATCCTACCGCAGTGGCTGTTCCACAGGCTCAGCTAAGAGAGGGATGCAGAAATGTACAGAGAAAGACAGCAGAAAGTGAATATAATGAAAGAGATTGTTTAAAAAAGAAAACTCAGAGATGTAAAGAGCGTTCAACGTGCAGGAACACAGAAACATGTTGGACCTGCTGTCTACTACTGTCACATGTTCAACGTACAGACCTGTCCATCCACATGCAGATGAAAGTATGTATCCTAGTGTTAGTCATCTGAGGTGGAATATGACTGCTAGCCAAAAGCCATCTAATGTAGACTACTGTCAACTATAACTGGCTGTTTTTAACCTGCGCATTGTTGGTTGTAACTGGTTAAGCACTCTCACCTGATGCCTCCCCCAGCGGGCCCGTCCGACCAATATTAGAGAGGAGGTGATCTATGTTTGGGGCGGGCTGAACATCCTCTGTGTCCACTGGTGTCTGAGGGGCGACATTTAAATATTTTTTAAAAAGCCATGAAAAACTTTAGAATTTAAATGTTTAGTTATCAGTGCTGGGGGTAACGCATTACAAGTAACGTGAGTTACGTAATCAGATTACTTTTTTCAAGTAACTAGTAAAGTAACACATTACTTTTTTAATTTACAAGAAAATATCTGAGTTACTTTTTCAAAAAAGTAACGCCAGTTACTTTGTTTTCCCATTTATTGACTGACAAGTCTCCTGTCCCCATATTGGGAGAAATCGGAAGTGCAGAGGAGTTGTGTGCGCTGTGTGAACATGATGTTACTGTAGTTCTAGACTAAATGTGAATGTGCATTAATTCATCCCACTCACAAAAAACAGATGAAAACATTTTGCATTTCAAAACAGTGAAATGCAATCAAGCCCTGCTCATATTTAAAAAGTAATGCGAAAGTAATGCAAAAGTAATGTAACGCATTACTTTCCATAAAAAGTAACTAAGTAACGTAATTAGTTACTTTTTTAGGGAGTAACGCAATATTGTAATGCATTACTTTTAAAAGTAACTTTCCCCAACACTGTTAGTTATTTAATCATATAGATCACTTTATGATTCATAAATTAATTTTGATGAATCTCAATAACACTAAATATAAAGAAAACAAACCTTTTCATCTTTTTCGTTTTCTTCACTGAAAAACCAGGCATGCTGCGCAGAGAGCAAGACAATCATTGTTTAAAATCATAATTAAAATGGAGACTAGCTTAAAAACCGGTGGTCATTTTTGTCAGCTTTGTGCCTTACGTGCTGAATGAGTGTCTCCACAATCTTGTAGCGGTCAGGCATGTGGGTGACCATATCTGTCATGTTGTCCTCTGAGTTCCGGACAAGAGTGGGGCCAAACACCAGTGCCAAATTACGTGGCTCCATCTGCACATACATAAGCGCACAGTAAGACATCATACAGCTAATATGAACTAGCATTCTACTGTATGCAACGGGTTACACAAGCAGCTCTGCTGCTTTTTTAATGTGAAATGCCAAATTCAGATGCTACTAATAAGTAATAAAATGTAATCAATATTACTTATTAAAATCTCTAGACTATTTGCAAAGGTCTGCATAGGCAAGGAAAAAAGACTTGTCCCAGCTGGTTTTTAAACTCAACACAAGCCCAAATTAATATATAAAAAGAAACATCTGTGTTCAACTATGCTTTGTAAATTTCCAATAGTAAAAATATACTGTAATTTAAAATACTGAAATATCTGAATCACAGAAAAGCAAGTGTTGCTCACTTTGTTCTTCTCAGAGTGGTCTGCCACAGTCTTTAGATGTCCAATTAGAAATTTTAGAGTGTGGAAGTAATAATCTGGGAGATCACGTATCTGCAGAAAGACAAAAAGAGACAAATGGAAAGTTAATAGAAAAACAAGTGAAGAAAATACAAACTAAATGCTATACGCTACTGTTAAAAAGTTTAGGGTCAGTGTGATTTTTTTTCCAAAGACAAAATAGTTTAAAAGTGATAGTAAAGCAAAATAAAATATTTATATTTCAAGTAAATGCTGTTTTATTAAAACCTTTGATTGATCCTGAGTGAAAATGTGCATATGTTATAATATATTTTTGATCAAATAAATGCAGGCCTTGGTGAACATAAAGACTTAAAAAAAAAATAAAAAAACAACTTTACAGATCTCAAACATTTGAACGGTAATGTAGACTTGCAGCACAATGTGGCTTTTAAAGTAACATGCTGAAAGCAAGTTCATACCAGTTTCTTCATTGTCCTTAGCCTGTCACTGGCATTCTCCATCCGATTGGCCTCAATAAAGTCATTGTATTTGTCTTCAAGAGGATAAAGAGAAAGAGAAATGGAAGGAAAAATGTCACTACATGACATACTTCATACCTTTCAAAATATATTTCAGAAGGATTCCAGTATATTTACAGTTTTATGCACATAAAATAGCACTAAATCACAGTTCACATGCTCATAATCTCACCATCTGTGAAGAGGGGTTCTGGGAGTTTACGGAAGAAGGACTTTAGTAGGCTGCTGACCACATTCAAGTCTTGCCATTTCTGTACAGGAGTAAAAAGTGAAAGCAGTTGTTGTTGTTGTTGAACCCAATTATCATTGAGCTCTCAATATGAGGAAGTATCCGCTTAAACATGGGAAGTGAATATAACCAGCATGTTGACTCAGTCTCAAAGAGCCAGTGGCAAGTTAACAATGACAGAGATTGTGTGTGTGTGTGTGTGTGTGTGTGTGTGTGTGTGAGTGAGTAAACAGCTCACCTCCTCAGCGATGTTGATGTCTCCTCCTTTGTTTAGCTGCTCCTGCAGGCTGGACACTACTGCATTGTTTCCTGGCACTCTGTAGATCCCTGTGTACTCCAGACCCATGTCCTCCACCAACCCACAGCAGATCTCCACAATCAGGGGAATGAACTACACAGACCAACAGACATACACATGTAAACATACTAACGTGAAGTTACCAGTAAGCATAAGAAACACATTCAGCACATTGCATAAAGGACACACCTTGTTGTTGGTAGCAGGCTGGCAGTCCTCTAGACGCACACAAAACACTTTAGGACTTGCTTTCTTAGCCTTCTTCATTATATTTATGCCCCAAGGAGATTTAGGGGGACTGCTCTCATCTTTAGCCTCGTGTTTTGGGGAACGTGGAGGTGGGCTGTTGTCTTGCTTACTGAGCAGAAATGTCATTCGAGGCACTCTGGGTGAGGAGTCTGGTTTATTACCTGTTGGACTACAAGAGGGAACCAAGAGGAAGCGGATCATTTTAATTAATTAATCTTTTTTTTTCCAGAACAACAAAATGCTACAGTGGGCTCCAATCTCACCTTTGCTTCCTGTAGTCATTAAGTTTCTTATTGATGAGAGCCTGTCGTGAGAAACCCAATTCCTACAGACAAATATGAATAAAGAGCATTTCAATTTAACTGAAAAATTATTAATTGTCCCACCCCAAAAACCATTGGTTGAGCAAATTTTGCCATTTTGTGCAGTGCAAACCACAGGCCACAGAGTTGTCACTCTTCGGGGAAATCAATCAACAAACTGTGTTATCGGTAATGACAACTACAACAAAGTGTAAATTAAAACTTTTTCATGCACTAAAATAAAACATAATTGGAAAAAATTTAAATAAATTAGAAAAAATTAAAATAAAGTGCATTTTCATATTTCTGCAACAAACTATAAAATAAAATATAAAAACAAACAAAAAAATGTACATTATAAGTATGTTAGGTTTTATTTTAGCATGTTCATAAAATAAAATCGAAAATTGAAAACAAAATAAAATGTACTTTATTTTAACGCTAGTTTTTCCAAGTATGTTAGATTTTATTTTAACATGTTCATAAAATAAAATAATAAAATAAAATGTTATTTATGTACTTTATTTGAATTTTAGTTTATCCAAGTATATTAGTTTTTATTTTAGTATGTTCATAAATTAAAATTAAATTAAATTACAAGTTCTTCATTTTAATTTAAGTTTTTCCAAGTATGTTAGGTTTTATTTTAGCATGTCCATAAAAAAATAATAAAATAAAAATTATTTATATGGATAAAATCCCATATATTATACAAGCCCATATATTATGACCATATTCACATTTACTAGCAAAAGCAAAGCCTGCTGACAGTAAACAGCAGTAAGAGAGGAAGGAGATCTCAGAAACAAACCCCATGTAAACATGCACTGCTTCCTGTACAGGCAATGACAACCTCGACAAATTTGGTCTAGCCATTTCATTCGGTTGAAGACCTCTATGTTCCATCATTCTCACACTCTCACCTCGTTGTCAGTCTTGCCGTTTTCTCTGATGACTCTGATCCACTCCAGCATGTCCTCTCTGTCCTCCGCCTGTAGCAAGTATTCACAGAAGTCCTGTGTGGTCAACCTCAACGCGTGTTTGCGCTTCGTTTCACTGTACGCAATGTCCACAAGGCAACCCCGGATGCTGATTGGCTGCTCCTCTTCAGCCCCGCCTCCCAGCACCGCCCCTTTGAGCACTGCCTCTCGCTTGTCTTTGTACAAGAACAGAGAATGGGACCGAAGCACAGAGAACACCCGCCTCCAAGGCCAGATGGCACTACCCACCTTCTGCAAGAGAGAGAGAAAAGACTAATCTCATCCATCAGATCATACAGGTAACTAATTACGGTAGTCATTTAACAGACACTTTTATCCAAAGCAACTTGCATGGCGAGTTTGAACCTAAAACCTTTCGGTTACAAGCCCACATCATTACCTAAGCCACTAACAACTGCTCCCCCAGATTATAAATGAACCCTCGCTGTCTGTTTGACTTACCTTGCCCTTCTCCGTGTGGATCTGTTTGAAGTGGAGCCAGCCTTCTCTCTTCACGTCACTGTAGCTGATGCTGCCCAGCTCCGAGGTAGAGTGTCGTTTAGAGCGAGCTTCTGCCGCAGCACCCAGACTGTCCAGAGACTAAACCATGACACAGGACAGAGAAATACACAACTGTGACACTGACATGGAACTACAGTATACAAAGACCCAGAATACAGGAAGAGAACATTTAAAGCTGTACACTCCAAGGTTTTAAGTTAAAATATCATACAATACAATTTGAAACAAAATGGACCTTTTTAACTTTTTAATCCATTCTTGGGCGATAGGAAAATGCTAACCAATAGCTAAATAACTATTGGGGCACTGCTTTAGCAAACATGCATATTCAATTGAAATAAAAAATAGACAACGGAGCGGTGAAAACTGTTATTATAGCATGGATTATAATATGGCTTGAATGCTATACTGACACAGTGTTGTTATTGTTAGCTAAAACTAAAACAATCCAAGATAGTTTTTGTTAATTGAAATAAAAAACTAGATGCTGACTTAAAAAACTAGATGCTGCCTTTGCAACTTACAGAACAAAAAAAAGTTGAACTACTAAAATTATGAAAACAAAATAAAATTAGTAGAAATGCAATTGAAATATTTTTTGAAAAATAAAAGACATCACATACAATTTTTAAACTTAAATTAAAATATACACTGAAAACATCAAAATAAAAGCTTATTCAAAATATTAATAAAAACCATAATAGTATATAAAAAAATTATAAAATAACACTGATATTGACCAATCAGAATCTGATCTATAATCAGAAATATATCAAAAGCACATAACAAAATTTTAAAACTTAAACTGCAATTAAAATGAAAACTGAAGACATAAAATAACAGCTAATTCAAAATATTAATAAAAACAATAGTATACAAATAATGCTAAAATAACCCTAATATTGACCAATCAGCATCCAGGATCTATACACAGAAATACATCACATTACGTTGACTTAAAACAACACAGTACTTTTGTTCATATCGAAATTTTAGAGAGTATGACCCGGTTTCTACTGTAATTTAGGGAATCAAACTCACCCCTTCAGTAAAGAAGCTCTTGACTCTTTTTGGAATCCTCCTGTTGAAGAAGCACAATAAGAACATGTTCAAACATAAAAATCAACTCACACATCTTTACTGAGATGTGAACAGTATTCAAAAATAGTAATAGTAAAATTCCCAAAACTCACGAGAAGACCCGCCCCTCTTCTCTATATGCATTAAGCCCCTCATCACATGACTTGGAGCGTTCAGTGGTGATGGCCAGCAGGTAAGAGGAGCGACGATTAGACTTGGGATCCCCTGCTTATAGAGAGAGAAAGAGAGAGACATCCACTCATTACAAACGGTGAAAAGGACAAAGAACAAGAAAAGAGAGAGAGCTGATAAAGGACAGTTAGTGTGGAGTTGGGTAGGATACAGGGAGTAATCTGAGATTAGGAGGTGGGAAGGTGGTGATCTTCATCACAGTCTCAGTGAAGTCCAAAGACGGTGCACGGGCATTACCGAAAGATCATGTTAACAAATGCAGTACGGCATGCACATATACATTTGACTTATTTGTGCCGTATGAGTACGCATGCAGTAGGAGGAGCTTTATAACGATCACATGCAGCTTCTGAATGTTTACGTAATTGCGTAAACTCGTCGCGATGTTTTCATGTACAGCTCTAGGCAGTGATTTGGTCATTTAGTAGTAACAGTAACAGTGTTCCTCTTTCTCTGCATCACTCACTGCAGTCGTGGGAGAAAAGGCGGTTGAGGGGAAAGGTGAAGGTTGGGGAGGCGGGGCTTGTGGCCACAGCAGGGGCAGAGTTTATACCGCCACTGGACACGACGGAGGAGGCAGGGACATGACGTGCCCGCAGATCTGCACTTGGACTGGTCGGCTCATCTGTGGGAGGAGTGGAACGGAGGAAAGGATAGGAAAAGGGGAAGGAAGGAAGACAAGAATAAAAGAAAGTTATATTGGTAAGAGGAGTAAGATTGAAAGAAGGGAAACCAAAAAGAATAACAAGGAGGGAGGGAAAGGTTAGAGGGAAAGCAAAATGGTGTTGCACAGTTAATTTCAAGATATTTAAATATCATAATACACCAAAACACAAGAGACTCTTCCTCTCTGACATGTGTGCATACAAAAGTAAACAACTGAATTTCCAAACACTCAATTTACTGCAAAACCTAAAGAGATTTAGACACTCTCAAAGAGAGGAGGAGTAATCGAGTGTTACTGTAAGGAGAAGCTATAGTGCACACTTTATCTGTACCCACTCATCATGTTTAAGCATATGATATGTGACAAAGTGAAAAATGCTGAGAGATAAAAGAAGAAAGAGAAAGAATGAATAAAGCATACAGCATTTTGTACCTGACTCGTGGCCCTCCATGAAATAAGTAATCAATGTGGAACTGAGATGTACAAGTCCTTTTTGTATTAACACATGGTTTCAGTTCTTGCTAAAGCGCATAGTGCCTGGTGTTGTGAGTTTCTCGTGGGAAGTGGTTGGTTGCTGCAGGTATGCTTTTATAACAACCTCTTTGGAGTGGTCAACTGGTTAAAGCTAATACATTAAAGATCCATCCTGTCAATGTCTTTCTTTTCCCCAAATCCTTAATATATAAGCACATATTAGCCATGTGTGAGATGAGTGGCACCTTCAATGAATTCTTAAAAAAAAAAACTCTGTTTTCAAAGCATGTGCTTGCAGTTATGTGTCAGGTCTTTCCTGGCCTGCAGCAGTAACATGATCACCTCAAAAACACAATTTGGCAGAACGTTGGTATTTCAGTGACTGAGGAGATTCTGTCAACCAGTTAACCACCTGCAACAACATCTATCTACACCAGCAGGTGGCAGCAGCACACAAACATCACTGAACAAGAGGATTTCTAAACAAGATTTGTCTGGTTAGCATGGTCCAGTTAGCTCTAGGCCCAGTTGTTTAAAAGTACTCTGATCAGATTTTGGATCAGATTAGATCAAATCTTGAAAATTGGTTGTTTAAATGCAAAAAACAAAGGATTCTAAGAATGGAGTTGATCATGAAATCCAGTCTTGGTTTTGATCTGGATCAAACCTTCAGTAAGTGTTGTTCAAACCACATTTGTAATACCTTTGATCCAAAAAAGCAGGATTATCCTGATCCCAGTAGAAGCTGGGATTCAGAGAGATTTCAGAGATGAACCAGTCAATAGTCCTAACAATTACATTTTATCTAATTACACTTACATTACAATTACTTTCTAACAATTACATGCCTTATTTCAAGTATATTTCAACATTTTGAGCCAGATTAACTTTTTGAACAACTGGGCCATGCAGAGAGCATCTTTCTCTATTGACAGCCATTCAAAATAGTAAAAGAGAAAAGTGTCCTTATAGTGCCACCAGCCAATCAGTGTTGTCATTTTCCTGCTTTGATTAGTCACATGATATAAGGCTCAGGTGACCGAACCAATAAAATCTGGCCGAGTAGAGAAGAAGATTAATGCTAACAGGCGGCTTTCTCGGGGTATAATATAGACCCTTTTGTTTCTAAAAAGCTTAAGAAATACCCCCCTGGCCCCCTCCCCTCCGTTTAAACTCATCAGTATCCTGCTCTCTATTCTCATAATTTGTGTTTCTTTATCTCTGTGCATCACTTTTTCATGTGACTATCTTAGCCATCCATCACTTCTGACTTCATATGAAGTCCACTCCTTTTCTTCTTATTCATCAGTTTATCAAATGTTTAAATGTCTTCAACATTCATTACAATGCACATACATCAACCAACCTCTAATTAAATGTTTATCTTAAATCAAGTGAATCATTTTTCTATGAAGGTAGAATGACGTCAAAAAGATTTGCATACGCAGAGATCATATTTATTTTGCGTTAGCATGAAGCTGCAGTTTCACAATACATGAATTACACTTACGAGTAACAGTAAAATGCTGCAAATATTTTTTTCTTGCGCTTGAAACGCAATTTACACCTTTACAAAGCTTCTCTTGCGCATGCAAATTTAATTTACGCTTACAGTCTTATGTACACTTCCACAACTCTTACCCTGCGTATGCAAATCTTTTTGACGTCATTCTACCTTCATATTTTTCTTTTAATTCTCTTATGTTGTCTACTCTTTCTCATACTAGAAGGGAGCAGGGGCGGAAACATTCCCAATCTAGGATGTGGAATCTGGACTGTGCTTGTTTTCCAGCCACTGGCAGAAATAGCTGTTCTGTGGGTTTAACAAAGGCCCTCATTACTGAAGCCTGAGTATGAGCTCACACACACAAACACACACACACACACCTCCACACACAACTCCATAGAGTCTGTCTCATGGACATACAACACTTGCACATAGAAAATCCATCTGTACTACTTTAACATCAGTCATGTGCAACAGTTGTATTTTGAGGTTCAGATGCAAAGCTGTAAATAACCCAACCCATCAGAACGGATATTTCTGGTGAGTTCGCGTGTAGCATGTTAGTGTGTGAATGGTTGGTGGAGTGAAGACTCCTCCCCTTTTTACTGGAGACACAATGACCACATTGAGGGCAGAAAGAGCTGAGTGTGCCGATTGTGTCCGGTAATATCTGATTGTGTGAGAGTGTGTATGTGTGTGTCCTTCACCCCTAACCCCCAAAAACCCTGCTCCCTGCTCCTTTTCCTTCTGCATTCTCAGTTCATTACACGTTTGTAAAAAGTGCAAGTCTTCTGCAACTAAACAACATAAAAGTATGCACTACATGAAACAACTACATTAATTCCAAAACTTTTTTAACTTTCCTCATTCCTCTCAAGAACGTTTTGCCTGAATACCTGAATGAACTGACCCTCCCCTGGTTACTGTTGCTAACTGAGACAAGTTTTACAGAACCTCCAATAAGAATGAACTAGAAATTTCTGATCAGGCTGATTTTTAGTAAACTATGTTCATAAAGTGAAAAAAAAAAAACGATTGGGTATTATTCGTCTGTGGGCTGGAATGAATAAAGATATCACAAAGTCTTTTTTATTTATTTATTTATATTTTTTACCAGGCTTATAGTTAGTTAGCTAGAACTAAATTCATAAAAAAAAAAAATTAAAAATATTAAATAAAATAATAAAATATTAATAAAAGCTACAATATCATCATAATTATCCTAAAATAACACTTTCAAGACCAAAAATTTGTCTAAAAACCTTCTCAATTTTAAAACAAGGCACGGACAGGCTTTTAGTTTGTTGCATGCTGTAGATTGATATAGATATGGCCATATGCAATTAATATAATTGATGTTTCCTGGTTGTAATCATATGACTTGAATGTCATCTTTACATAAAACAAAGATCCAGTTGCACTAACACAGTAACGCAGTTTGAAAACCATTCACCCCAAATCAATACGAGAAATTCCAGTACAAACGACTCCACTGACATGACAGGTAGAGCAAGGACAGACTGTCTGTTGTTTTTATCAGTATGGTGTAACGTGCCCCAGCTTGTGAGCATTTCTGTTAGTTTCAGTTTAGTCCTCTCTGTTTCAGAGTCTTTTCTGCTGTGTTGCCTCCATCAATCTCTAAACAGGACCTGGGATACACAACGACCTGCTCCCATCCTAAATATGTAGTTACATTTTTGCAATACTCCACAACTTCTCCTAAACATACACAAACACATAACGTAAGCAAGATCATTTTAACAAATGTAATCAAACTGAAGGGTCTAACTCAAGGGGAGTGTTGCATTGTACAGGTGTGTGGAGGCAGAAACATGCTTCTCGTCTGTGCTGACTGCTAAAGGTGGGGCACTTTTATGCATAGTGGTTTTAGGCTTAACCTCCCTCAGGAATGAAAGCACTGCAATAACAACAGCTTATGCAATCACAACAGATCATAAAAAGATGTCCAGCAGTGAAAAGAGCAGAACAATCTAAAAATCACTAATAGGCCTGAAATTAATTGGTTTTGTTTTAATGTTGCCATTACAACTCCTAATGCAATGTTAAAGGAAAGCAAATGACCAACTGAAAGCTTTTAAGGAAACTGCAAAATCAATAGCACTCCACTTAAATCCAGCTGTGCTATAAACATATAATTAGAGGAAACAGAGATTCATGGCCAACCATATATAACCCTGTAGCACATTTAACAGTAAGAGTTTTGGTGTCTATCTCAGTTTGTTTTGAATGTTTTGCATTCAGCCGGCCATTTTGTTTCAGATTTCCTCTTGCACTCTGGTTTAGTAATAAAGGCAAGCAGAGACAAGATCACTTTGAGCTACAGGCCAGAGCAAATACACACACTTAGAAAGCTGCTTTTTTCAAATAAAACCAATCATAATTACTATAAACTAACCCCAACCAAACCCTAACCTTCCCTTAAAAGAGGACTTGAGACATTATTTACTTTATTTATAAACCATTTCCCCAATTAAGTTTTTGTCAGACTAAGTTAACATCTGCAGATATTTTCCAGCTATTTTGTAACTAAAATAGAGGTAGGTTATAAAACACACATATTCACACAACTGTGCCTTAGTCAATCAATCAAAATTTCTACAGTATGTAAATATGTCAAGACAATTCTCTTCAAATCCTTTATCTTCATAGTGTTCCCAAAGCTCAAACAGTAGAGCGTGGCACTAGCAATGCAAAGGTCATGAGCTCAATTCCCAGAGAATGCAGTCAATTTGTATAGAAGCATCTACTAAAAGAGTAAAACTGTAGAAACAGGATGGAATTGGGCGAGGCACTGGAAGAGTGGAAAAAGAAGGAGAGGAAGAAAGAAAAATAGGACTAATTTAAATCCAGTAAGTCTGATTCAGTCACAGACAACTAATATTGTCAGGCTGACCATGGGAGATTCCAGCATTACCTAATGCACAGACATGCACACTGGTTCACCAGACATAGGAAATGAAGGGTAAGACCAGTGGGGTTGTGAGTTATTAAGACAAGTACAGTCATTCTCTAACATTCCCATCAGTCTATTTTAATGGTGTCTGGATACTTAATCAGTTTCCTTGTTAACATAACAACCATGTGCAGGATAGAGTGAGCATAGAGTGATGGGAAGTGAAAAAGAGAGGGAGAAACTGAGAACTAGATGGAACAGTATTTTGCAACAAAGAAAAGGAGAACATGAGAGCAAAGGAGTCACTGAGAAGTAGGGACTTACCTATAAAGGGAATTGACGCGAGAGAATCATCCTCTATGGATAGTGGTGGTAGGTTACCGTTCGTACGGCGATAAGAAATAGCACTTTCCACTTTGGCAGGGGGCTCCGTAGGATCAGAGGTAAAGAGTAGAGGGTCACTGGAGTCAAGTGCTATGCCGTAATGTGGATGTCGTAGGGCGTTCGCACCCCTGCGTCCGGTGGGTGGTTTCTGCCTCAGAACCACTTCCTGTGTCTGGGCTTCACCTGTTGCTTCCCCTGCCCCTCTGTCATGATTAGTGGGTCGGTAAGTTCTGTCTTGTCCTTCAGGGGCTGTGGGAATAGAAGTTGTAGAAGAGGTGGTTGGTGGAGCTGGGGAAGGAGAGGCCGAGGGTGGAAGCCCCTCTGGGGGACTGGTCTTGGGTGTAGGGGTCCAGAGGTGTGGACCCGTGTAAGAGGGGTCTCTAAATGACTGGGCTTGCTGCAAGATACGGCCAGTCTTCCGGTTGAAAGAGGGGCTGTAGCTACGATAGCCAATCGGCTCCTCATCTAGACTCTGGCAAGATGGCAAACGTCTTGCCAGTGGAGCTGCCTGCTGTGGTTGCGAAGTCTGAGATGAGTGTTGGTGTGCTGCATGTGTGACGTTTTGATGCTGAGGTGTGTGTTGATGGTGTTGTGGTGTGTGGTGTTGCACTTGGTGCTGCTGGATTTGGTGATGTGACTCTGCGTGTTGGCCACAATGTCCGCCATGTCTCAGATAGCTTTCAGTCCTGTTTGGGGGCTGGTGGACCCAAGTAGATCTTTCGAGTCGTGGTGAAAGTATCCCCACAGCTCTGTCGAGAGTTTCCAGTGAACGTGCTGAATGTCCGTACTGGCTTACTAGAAGGTTTTCGGAGGACTTGCGCCCATAGGCCACTACAGATGGGTGCTGTCCATACACATGCTCACCCCGCCAGTCTCCATGGTTCCAGTGGGGATCAGTGTATGCTGCTGAGCTCTGCTGAAGCAACAGCAATGTGTCTTGTGATGCACTGTGGGGAAAACCTGCTTGCTGCGAACGCTTGGCCCTCCCAAGCTCACCTAGACGGTCATGCGAGAAACTCCTGTGGCGTGGGTGCATGGAGCGAGAAACAGATCGCTCTCGCTCTCGTTCCTGCTCCCGACCTGGTACTTGGCTATAGTACCAGTTGGAAAGGGCTTGTTGAGTGCATTCGCTGCGGCTGGATGGGGGTGTTGATATTGACTGAGAAGGACTGGCCCAAGGTGGGCTTTCCTTGCGGCCTCCAATGTGCCCCACGGCAGTACCCATGTTGTGGTTTGCGAGATGTGCATGATGCAATGGGCTCATCATCCCTCCTGAGGAGGAAGATGATGAATATGAGCGTCCTCTCATTTGTCCGGTTGCCTGTGGTCCCCTGTCAGTCATTCCATACTGGATCTCCTCAGTTCGGTGTGCAGGGCTACTGTGACCAACACCTCCTGGCTCACAGCTCCTGCCCTCGGCTGCCCAGAAAGCATTGGAAGCTACTGTCCGGTTGTCAAGGGGTGGAGAGGGACCAGAGGAGGAGCCGGGCCAGCGGCTCCAGTTGTCCAGCTGGTTTTGCCCCATGTATGAAGAAGCTGGGGCAGGGCCGGCCAGCGCAGGAGGCTGTGATTTTGTATGTGGAGGGTAGAGGACAGGGGGTGGTGGAGGAAGATTTTGGGCCTTTCCTATATATGGATTGTTCCCTCTTAGGTAGGCATCATGGGAATATGCCTGAAAGAGAGAAATACAACTGTTTCATTCCAAAGGAACATAAAGGGGTGACTTAATTTATTTTTTTTTCTTTTTATTTGCTTTTAGAACAAGACAAATTAGGACATACAGAAAAACTGTACAAAATAGAAGAAAATATTGCTGTAAATGTAAAGCAACAAACAAATTAAGCCAAAACAAAAGCACAAACAATGAAGTTAAATTTCCATGTAATTATGTAAAGTGTTGGTGTAAGATTATTATGTATATGTGTTGTACACCTCTATATCTTGTATAAAGTAGGGTAACTTAATTTCAACAGAGTGAGAAAGGCATCAAGGAGTGGAGGTGAAAGGTTCATAGAAAAAAGGGGTAAGAGAGATGACATTACAATTACATGCTGACCATGAGACACTATCACTATATACTGATCATGTGATTGTGTCATAATACTGAGTTTCATATTGGTCTTATGAAGTATTCTAATTTGTTGAGATAGTGAATTGGTGGGTTTTTGTTAAATGTGAGCCAAAATCATCACAATTAAAAGAACCAAAGACTTAAACTACTTCAGTCTGTGTGCATTGAATTTATTTAATACACGAGTTTCACAATTTGAGTTGAATTACTGAAATAAATGAACTTTTCCACGACATTCTAATTTATTGAGATGCACCTGTATCTAAAGATGTCAAATAAGACAAATGCTAATGATTTCTAATAATATTGTTATAGTTATCTAAAAATCATCAGGGGAAAAACAAAACTGAAAAAAAAAAAAAATTACTCATTGAGAGATTCATGAGAAATTCATCACAACACCACAATGTAATAAATATGTTTTCAGTAAAAAAAGAAAATTCTTGAGACACAAAATTATGTAAAATGTAATTTATGAAAATTATGTTTATAAAGGATTAAATGATTTTTCACAGGTCGATTTAGTTTTAGCATTAGCTCTCTCTAAATATATTATTAATAGATATAATATTTAGATTTATAATTAAAGCAAGAAAAAATATAAGAAAAGCATAAGGATAAGATAAGAAAAAATTTAAACTTAATTCACGTCATATTATAAGAAAGGTAAAATCACCTTCTAAATTAAATTGATCTTGTTTTAAGAATGTTTAAATAGAAAATATGACTGAAATATGTACTAAGAAAATAATTTTTGCAGTATAATGTTACAAACCAGAAGACATCGACTCTAAAACCTCAACAACTTGTACGACCCATGCAGTGACTACTGTGTGACTGTAGAGAGGATGTCAAGCTGACCAGATGTATCAACACTAACCTCAAAACACACTGACATAAACCTGACATGTGCTCAATTAAGAATTTATTAACAAAACAGAGACATGGCTGGCTGACGAAACACTGTCCGGCTCCAGACAAGCAAATCGACTAACATAGCATAGTACATGCAGTCTGCTAATACATGCAAATACAACCAACACAGAGAACTGAAACTCACTAATCGAGAGAAACATTCCCTAAAGCTCCAATGTGTCGAACGTCTCTCGTTTTCTATTTAGTGTCCTCTTTAACAGCTTAAATGTACCTCTTATGTCCTGATTTGTGTTTTTTCAAATTCATGTCTCGTTGTCACGTCCCTCTGTTATTCTCTGTATCTCTTTTTCTCTTTCTGTCTATGTTGAGCCCTACCCAACCCAATGCTCTTGAACTCCCTCCCTCTCTCTCTCTCTCTCTCTCTCGTCATCTCTCCACCCTGTGGGAGTGTGGGAGGGGCGACATATCTGATGATGTCATCTCTGGAATGTAGCTGATGCGGGTGTAAGGAGGGGTGTGTAGAGAGACAGAGAGAAGGAGAGATAGACATGGGGGTAAGAATAGAGGAGTGGGGTCTCTTGGGAGGCTATATGGGTAATTCGCTTAGTATGAGTGCCCTACTACAAAGATTCATTCGAGTGTGTATAAAGCATGTGTCTGTATGTTCCCCACAAGTGCATAAAGGTTTTCCTTCGCCTTTAGCGAGTTGCCTGTTCGATCATGTGGGCAACTGGGTAATTTGTGCACTGAAGAAAATATGCGAGTGGGAATGTTTGTGCACTTTGTGAAATAATGCATACGTGTTTGTGTGTATTTGTGCGTTAATCATATGACCGTCTGCATGCTTACAACATGACTGATTCTTGATTTCTTGCTTGGAAATGCTTCAAAGTTACTGCTGAAGCAACCTACTGACTCACACATTGCTTTATAATGACTACTAAAAAATATCAGAGTTGTCAAATCGCAGTGTCTGTGTCTATTTAAAAGTGTGAGAAAAGTGTACACACCTCTGAGGGCGTGTGTGGGTTTACTAGCTTTACTTCGAAAACAAAACTAAACCACAATGCTACCTAAATTCTATACTCTACAAATGCAAAATGTTCACATTACAAAACATTTTATTAATCAGTATTTTTGCCTTGTTTCAGTAAAAATATCATAAAACATACTTTTACTTGAAAATTAATATGGCATAAAATACAATGAATTAAGCATAAATTAAAATACAATTAATTGAATTAACAAACTGAATTAAAATTCATTAAATTAAATTAAAACAATAATAAACTTAAATCAAAAATCTTTTTTCCAAAACAAGTCTTATTTTAAACAATTTAGTAAACTGATCTTATTTTAAGGTTTTTTTTTAACTGGAAAATAAGACAAAAGATTAAGAAAGTTATTTAATTGCTTTGCTTTCCTTTAGCATTTGGGTTAGTCTGGAGTAGTGTTGATTTCGGTAACGAAAACTATGACAAAAAAATATTAGTTGACAACCTTTTTTTTCATGAGTAAGACAAGACGAAGACGAGATGACATTGACATCATTTAAAACTAACTCTATAAACAGGTAATATCGTTGACAAAAAAAAAAGATTAGACTAAAATGTAGTTTTAAAAAAACTCTCTATATACAACATTTTCTTCAACAAAAAACAGGAGAAAAAACATAGACCTTCACTAGCTTTCATGCTTGGGGTTGCCAGATGTCAAGAGTTTAAATCCCCTATCAGAGCTTCTCTCTTAAAGGGACACATTTTTTGCCTTGTGTTTTACTTGATCTTTGCATGCTGGTAACCAGTCGCACACACTCACTCTTACACTACAGATAAAGCACTGATGAGCTGAAAACATCTCCATTGCGATATTCAGCTCAAATGAAACTGTAACGCAGCCAGTCTGTGTTCCTTCACACAGTCGTTTGAGCTGTTTGCTGCAACTAAATCTGCCATCAAACCTTTTTCAGTGACAAACTGTAACAAATTTAAAAATGGATCTCGACTATATTTTTATTGGGTAGCTATATAAATGCACTTACGCAACCTCTGTGCCACAATGCAAAGTCTTTCTTGTTGTTTTAATAGAAAGATTTGAAATTATTGGAATTAATATTAGGAATATCACTGTCTTAACTTTTGAGATAAGCTTTTGAGTTTTCATAATGTAGAGAGTGTGTTTACATTTATGATCATATAAAAAAATCAGGAAACCAGATGTTGACACTCTTGATTTGTGCTTAAATGTACAAGTGCAAGAATTCTGATGAAATTTCTCAAATGACTACAATCATGATCAGCAACAGTGACTATAACTTTGAGCAAAATAAATATGATTATCGGTTAAACCATTATGCAGCATGACTAAAATGTGACTGTTTTAATTGACTAAAACTAGACTAAAATTCTCAGACTTTTAGTCAACTAAAACTTGACTAAACCAAAAACAGGACAGGTTGAATAAATATGATAAAAAAAAACGAAAAGGACATTTGCTTTTTAAAGACTAAGATTAATTTTAAAAACAGCGGACATTATTAACACTAGTCTGGAGAAAATAAAATTAAATAAAATTAAATTAAATAAAAATAATAAAAAATTAAATAACAATACAATAAAATAAATGTGTATGCTATGCTATGCTATGCAGGTAAATGAGTAGGTATGAGTGGGTGTATGAGACAGAAAAGGTGTGGCAAAAATGCTAAAACGTACACTTACCAGCTGCAGCACGTCCTCGTCCTTTGGCATGATGGAGAGCTCCAGTACACTCTCACTACATAGAGAAAACAAAGAGACCCAGAGAGCATGAGATTCAATAGGAGTATCTAGAGTTTATAGGATGTACAGTGACAATGGAACAAATTCTCCATTAAAAGTTGTGATTTGGGTTGAGTACAAAGACAACCTTTACACTGGGGTCAGTAGTAACCTTTTTAAGTAATGCACATAATCATCCAGCAAACTTCCCCCAGCAAACACTGCCTGAGGTCATTCTGTTCCGTAAAACATATGTCACAAATTCCACATGAACAACACTCATGTGAAAACGTTTAGTTACGTTCTGTTCTGCTCCTTCAAATTTGAACTCAACAATCCAAACAATGTTATAGATCAAGACATCTTGATCTGCATTTACTTCCAAGGTTAGACTGGATAGCTGTAGAAGACCTCATTTGAATCAGCTCATGCAACAAAGTGGAATAATTTTTTGAATAAGTGTTGTTTGACTTCAGAAGCTCACCTGTGCTGAATCAGTGCAATGACCTGCGAGTATGTCTTACCCAGCACACTCTCTCCATTCACTTTAACCAGCCTGTCTCCTGCAAACACACACAAAATAACACACTTACTTGACAAACTTTTTTGTCTAATTTACACAGCCCCATCAATAAGACTCAAGTACCACTTATTAACCATAAATGTGTTCCTATAACTGATATTATAATGGAAGTTATTTTGCAGAAACATTAATATTATTATAAGCCTCTTATTATATTGGAAGTCAATACTACTCACAAATTATACACCAAATACACAAAATAATGATCTTTAAAAAAGCATCATATGACCACTTTAAAGAAATTAATACTTATTCAGCAAGAATGCAGTAATAAGTCATTCATGTACATATACTGTTACAAAAGATTTCTATTTCAAATAAATGCTGTTCTTCTTTTTATCAAAGAACCCTGAAAAATGTATCATGATTTCCACAAATACAGCACAACCTTTTCTAACATTGATAATAATAATACCAAAAAAAGTCTGCGCTATTCCTATTTTAATCTGTCAGAGGGAAATCATTCACTGCCATTCAAAAGTTTGGGATAAGTGAGATTTTTAATGTTTTTAAAGAAGTTTCTTCTGCTCATCATGGCTGCATTAATTTGATCAGAAATTCATTTATTAGTAGTCTTCACAATTAACATTCTTTACATAGTGAGAGAGAGCGAGCATGTGCATTCTGTGCAAATAATAAAGATTAAGTAGACTCATTCCATGTGTTCACTCTGTTTTCCTTAGATCTCTGGTGTGTTTTGTGTTCATGTCAGGGTTACATTATCAGATCATCTCATCCAGTGGCGGTTCGTCAGAAGGAGTCAATGAAGGCTAAGCCTCCTATCCAGTCATAACCAATTATATTAAAATACATTCATCAGAGGTAGTGCATGATCTGTTGCACCAGGTTCCTGATGAAACCTATTTCCGCAGAACTGGCTCACTCATCGTAGTTCAACACATCCCCTTGCATATTTGTTTATGAAATATTTTGGCTAATCTGATTATGCTGTATGCTACTCTCAGCTCCATGTAACAAATTGTATACATTCCATTGACTTTGCATCAAGATGTTCACATAAAATATCAAAAAGTCTGCCTTCTTCCTATTCAAGGTGTCTAAAATTATAAAGACTATTTTAATCTGTCAGGGAGAGATCATATGTGCATGGTAGCATAGTTACTAGCAACAAAAATATGGTAAACATCCTATATTGTATTGTACAGTTTAAGAAAAGAAGGTAAGAAGAACATGCCCTCATTGAACTCAACCACCTTTTCTTGACCAGGAAGCAGCCGTGAGTGTGTGTGTGTGTGTGTGTGTGTGTGTGTGTGTGTGTGTGTGTGTGTGTGTGTCTCTCTCTCTCACACACACACACACACACAGAGAGAGAGTGAGAGATAATGAGTCACCTTCTGTCACGCTGAAAGTGTTTTGTGTAAATAACAAACCACAATTCACAGAGGAAAATATTCCATAATAGATCCTGCTCTGTATCAGTTTCTCTCTCTGGTTCAACTTTATTCTGTTCATATATCAACAGGAATAAGACTCTTGGTTTGTCTGAATGCAGTGAGAGCACAGTATACTGTCCATGTCAGTCAGGTGACATGACTAGTCACAGGAAGCATGACATATCAGCACTTTAAATATGTCTTAGTACAGAGACACATTCCTGCAAATCTGTGACAGGCTCTAAAGCCTTTTAAGTGGGCAAGTCATAACAAGAGATCACATATGTATGCACATGAGTGCACTGGGGTAGGTATAATCAAAGCTGAAATCGTTTAGCATGTACACACACACACACACACACACACACACACACACACACACACACACACACACACACTTTCTTCAGATATTTGTATTTGCATGATGTTTATCAAACAACAGTAAATACAAGAATACAGAGACCTTGTTCCAGATTATCGCTCTGATATTTACTGCATTACAATTATTTATCATTGCAATTAGTCCATTTGTGAGCACCACCAAGCCGTAGATTTATATAACAGCAGCGGCTCTGGGCATGTGACCAAAAATGCTAATCTTATTGGTTGGCCAGTTTTCTTTGCAGTGTGATGGAAATTAGAATCCCTCTCTGTGACACTATACCACACTAATGTTTATAATGGTCTGAATTTACAGCCAATCATTCAATTTAAAATGTTTATTGCACAAAACACTCATATTTTTGTCAACAGGCCTTTAAATTGATGCCATGCAGTTTCTATGACCATATGATCAAACTCTTTTACCTGTACACAAGCCAGCCTGGTGGGCGGGGCCTTTCTCCCTCACATTCTTAACGAAGATGGTGTCCATGGGCTCCAGACGACTCTGATGGAGCCCTGCATGAAACACACACACACAAAACAATATACTTCATAGTTTGTACAGAAGGCAAATACAGTGGGAAAAATCTGGGATTCTAAATATAATTTAATCTTGCATATAATAAAAAGTTTTGTAGATTTTTAAAAAATTATATATGAAATATTTTATGTTCTGCACTGTTTCTAAGTCACGAATCAAATAAGCAAATCAGTGACAATGATCATGTCTTTGTACAGAAGGTCAGATGTTCCTCTTCCACTGAAGCTCAATATGCTTCTTTGGATAATCTCAAGTCATGCTGTAGATCTTTTTTTTTTTTTAAATATAATAATTAAGATTTTATTCATCAGGCACACACACACACACAAAAAGATCATCATGTTAGACACAAACTTGTGCTGCTGTCATTAAAGCAAACATGGAATATTGAATAATAAGAAAGTCTGACATTCATATTAATATTTCAACATCCTGCATATATAATTGGTAATGAAAAAATAATTTGTATTAAAATTAGAAAAATTCAAAATAAAATCGTTTCACTAGTGGACTTTTGGACCTCACTGTACAGAGACACACACAGTCACAAAGTTTAGGCTGGCACTATGGAATGTGTTTTGCTCATACTGATGCCAGTGTCTCATGATGGCATGATAAGATGAGGACAGATGGTAACAAACAGGTTGAGGTAGTAATGCATAAACTGATCTGGGAACTGTGGAGCTTTAGTGTAGCATCAATACCAGTCTTATATCATCAGATGATCTGTCAGCTTTTATTCTCATTCTCAACCCTTACAAATCGCTATGATCTGGAGCTACAGTGTGTGTGTGGACTATGTGTAGATGCGTGTGTATGCTAGAGCACCTCTGTATCAGTCAGTATATTGGATTTTAGTGGCATTTTAATTGCCTGGGATTCAGTAGTATGGCATTATGAAAATAAGACATTAGGGCTCAACAGTAAACTCTCACTTGAGATCTGTACATTTTGGATTTACGTCTTTTTTCATATACAAGTACCTTGATATATAGCAGCACTGCGATACAATATTGTTTTTGCTTGATATGGAAATAAGGAAACATTTTCATATGTCAGAACTTGCTAATTATATGGCATATATCTCATATCAATCATGTGCCTTCCTGTAATCCTGCTTAAACCGGACTGATTTGAATGCAGATGGACACCCTGAATGTGCATGAACGGTAACTTGCTCTAGGGGGCGCCATGCAACAAACATCTGCTTCCCTGATCATTGACATTGCTTATGCTGCTAATTCATCTCAGATCAGTCACTGAGAAATAAAAGTCATAAATAAAAGTGTTTGTCAAGTCATATGAAGTTCAGTCAACTCAGATGAGTGACAAAACATTTTCAATTGATAAGAAATTAGCTTGAATGACTGCAATTTACATGACGTGAATATAAAAGAAATATAAAAGATAGGCTCACCCTTTCCATTCCCATTCTCTTCATCCTAACAGGAAACAATAAGAAGAGAATTAGATCATAGCAAAATTACAACATGTTCTTAAACTTAATAATTTAGTAATTTACAAAATACTTAAGGGAGTTATTATCATCTCTAATAAGTACTCTACTAATCGTATAATAGAAATGACAGTGGAGTCTTGGAATATTTAACAAATAATGCTCATCAAGACTTTTAAAGATTTTGTTTCACCTAAAAATTTAAATTTTGTCATTTTTACTCACCCTTGTGTCACCTTTAAAAACTATGACTATATTTTATTATTATTATGCACAAGTCATATGGACCAATTTATAATATTTTTGTCATTTTATCCTCATTCACTTTCATTACATTGACAAGAGTGGCCAAGAAATTAAGCATTCTTTTGCGATGCATGAGAAGAAAGGCTTGGAACAATATGAAAGTGAGTAAATGATGAACATATTTGGATAAATTATTCCTATTATGTCTATGGTACGCAACATGAATCAGAAGTCAATAGTTATGCATCATAGGTACAAAAACGGAACTAACTTTGTATTATTATCTATTTATAACAGGTCTCAATAAATTGGTTTGATCTCTATGATGGCATTGATTTCAGCACTGACTCTGTCCCAGCACTAGAGGTCAGCACTGGGAAAAATGGAGCACTTTAGCAGTGAATGTGCAGCTTTTAGCCACACACCTCCGCAAGAACAAGAGCCACAACATTAATTTTTCCATCTGTGCAGGAAATGACATGGTCTTTATAATATTCACTCTGCATCTTTATTTACAACAGACACAGTTTAGATAACCCATGCACAGCTTTCACAAAATAACCAGACTGCAAACCAGAGGCTCAAATCACACACACACAACGCTGATCAGGCAGTTTAAAGTGGGCAGCCCAGTGTTTAGTCTGCGCTGACTGGGCTCATTCCTAACAAACTCACACAATACTGAGGCTTTGCCATTCCGGGAGAAAGACAGACAGAGGGGGAAACAGATTGGTAGAGAGTGACGGACAGTGACCACAACTTTAAGATTTATAATCAACATCCAACCCACAGACCAAAATGAATTTCCATGTGTGCATTAACTTGGAGCTGATGGGGTGACAGATGGAGAGTGCCACACAGTCATGTGACCACGTGGACACTGGACACAGTGAATGGACCTGAACACACTGTCCCGGCAGCCCTGGTACGGCCCGGACCAGCCCAGAGCGTGTGTGGTACCAGTCAAACACATAATAGGCCCTTTGAGCAGGAAAGCAAACAGCGGCTTCTCAGAGAAGAGATGCCATATCATAATGGGGCTTTGTTTCTCCAACATCATGGGCAAACACTGTCTAAACATCTGTAGCCCGTTCTTAATAACATATAGGAATAAAATACACTACCAGGGTTGGCAGGATTTATTTATTTATTGGAAGTCTCTTATTCTCACTGAAACTGCATTTATTTGATCACAAATATGGTAAAATAGTAAGTTAATAACTGCATATATCCATATTGTACATGAAAATAACAAACAGATGCCAGACATGATTAGATATCTCACGGCTTTCTTTATATAAGCCCTTGATTTTTTTTCGCTCTAATTATGATGTGCATTGTCCACTTAATCTCTCCTGAACTGCTTCTTTGGGCTTCCTCTTTTTTCTCTTTAGAAAAGGTGCTAAAGGAAAACCAATGCCAGTCTGGATATCTGTGAGGTCAAGTCCTTGGTGGACCAACTATTGCTACCATGGCCTAAGCCCTTAAAACAAAAGGCATTTTAGAGTCTGATGCCATAAATGAGCCTTTTTAAGTTCCAAAAAAACTGCTCCAGTTTTTTAAATAATATTTCCTAAGCCCTAATATCATGAAAATGGCTCTTCATAAAAAAAAAGTGTCCTTGTAGGCTTAATGAGCACAAATTAACTACTCTTTGTAGTTGAGAGACAGGGACAGTTTGTTGGGCTTTTATTCTATCAAAAGGTTGTTTTTAGCGGTTAAATGACCGTAGGTCAAGGCTGCCCACATTTTGTAGCTCGATTTTGTGATAGCTGGCAGACATCCTCACCTTGAGACTGGTGTGCAGGGCAGACTCTGGCGGGTAAACGATGAAGTGACGTAGTGTGAAGCCAAAGCCCTGAGAGTTCTTATGGAGCACCAGTGTTCGTGGACCCTGCCAGGACACACCCAACCCATCTGCCCCACTCCTGACCACCGGCCGAGGGTTCTCACTGGATGAAGAGGACCCATCTCTCCGCCCCTTTGCCTGGGGGAAAGATAACTGTAATTAGAGAGATAACTGTAATTAGACATTCATTCATTCAGTCATTTAGTCCAATACTATTATTCCAATGGGATAACATGTCACATAGAACACTGTATCTAATGCAAATGAAATGCATCTGTGTTGACGAACATGTCACATTTAATGTGATAATTGGAGAATACTCTTGGCAGATAATTGCTAGAAATAACACCTTGTTGTTCTAAATGACCATCCCAACTGTTTTGGATCTGTCAGTGTACTTACGCCACCTGTGCAAGCAAGACGTGGGCATGTGAGGAAAAGTAACTGAAAGGGGGCGGGAACGGGAAACATCTCTCCACATTGGGGAACCATGATGTCATTTTTGTGATGCCAACATTCTCTGCGGAATTCTCAGAAATGTTTCTTATTTGATTAGTAGGAATAAAGGCCAGGGATCGCTTAAAAAAATAAAAAATAATAATAATAATTTTCGATTTAATCTATATTTTCTTGCTTTGGTTCTCCAAATAAGTATTTAACGCACCAATTCATTAAAGAGTCCCTTGACACCTGAGTATTGAGACAAAAAAGGCCACAGGCATGTAGTGCTGATGTTTTATTTCAAAGGTGACGTCATCATTCCTCTCATTTTGCATTAAAATACCTCTTTTCTCTTCAACCTAAAATCAACAACTTCACCAGCCCTGTGGTTTCACTATAACAGGAAGTATGCAGTCAGGGCAGGAAGTTCCCTAAGAATGGTGCCAGTCGCCATATACATAAACAAGTTTTTTTTTTTGCCAACTCATTTTATATAAAGCAAACATTTACTTCACAAACGTCTCCTCTTCACCCTGTAACTCCTCATATCTCTCTGAACTCAGCAGAAGTCATACTCTATACTCCAGCTGTCCTGACTCTGACCGCAGCCTCACCCCCTCTCTGCTTCTCACTCTATTTCTGTCTCACATGCTGTTTTCATTTGGCTGTGCTTATGTCTGAACCTTCTCTCTTTCACTTGCATTCTTACCAACTTGCACGCATGATCACACACGTATAGACAAATGGTAATGCTCCATTTAAACAGCCTTGCATATTGTGTGGAATGATGTAATATTTTTATTTAATTTCCCTTTCTTCTGTTAAAGGGATAGTTCACCAAAAATGGTCCATTTTATTGGGTGAATTATCCCTGTATTTTGGAATAGAAAACAGATTAAAGATATTTTCTGCAGTGATTTTGTTTTAGAAAATCTGTGGAATGGATCTAAACACGCCACATTAAACAGAGCTGAGATGTCTTATCAGAGGCTGGGAAAAAAAGCTAAAATATTTAAGAAACACAAAAGGATTTAAGGGTTTCTTAAAATAAGATACATTTACTTGAGAAGCTAATTTGCATAGATATTGCAAAGATATTAGGGCTCGTTTTCAGAGAATGTTTCTTGAATTTAAATTCTTGTCTTTCTCCACTTAAAGGGTTCATATGATGCGATTTCTATTTGTCCTTTTCTTTAGTGTGTTATGTAGCTATTTGTGTATGTATAAGATCTGCAGAGCTACAAAGCTCAAAGTCTCCCACAAAAGGATTTATTCTATCTAAAAGAGAAGGCTGATCCAGACCGGGCTAAAACGCCTCATTCAAACACGCCCCCACATCTCTACGTCACGATGTGGAAATATTTGCGTACGCATTTTATGGACGACAGTTTTGTGAACCTAGGAGAGTAGCCTACAAGGCTGGCTGTGCAAAGGCTATTTCTAAAACAAATGGGTCAATTCCGACTTTGCTATGACAATCTGGCGCTTATTCTGAATCAGCTACTGCAAGTATGTTTTCTTAATAGTTAAGTATTTTCTGCTAATTTTAAAAGTATTTTAAGAGGCGGGGCACAGAGGAACTACAATAATGTACAGTATTTGAAAAATAATGTGTTTTTTTAACATTAAAGCATGTCAACATATTCTGTTACACCAAATACACAAAATAATGATCTTTAAAATAGCATCATATGATCCCGTTAAGTTCTTTGGAGCTTTCTGCAGAGTTCATGCGCGCGTGGGCCTGCTCAATGGATTACACAGACAAATAAAAGTGAAACACATAATACAACCGTGTAAGTGACATGACAAATGTACAGGGGCATGTGTGAATTCCATAACATTTACCGTTAAGCCAGGACATGTTCAGACAGAGACGGAGAGGCTAGCTTTAGAAAGAGAAAGAGAGGGAGAGCTCAGTCTCCAACAGGCTCCAACAGGCAGGTTTCGACCACAAGGTTCCTCCTGGCACTGAGAATACCAAACCCTGTTATTACCCACCAAAAACACACAAGTGTACACATAAACACATGCTTCTTCCTCCTTATGGTCCAGCAATGTCCATCCATTTAAAGCATTAAACTTTTCCTTCCGTTCTGTTCATCTATGTTTTCTTCATCACTGACATTCTGTCTCATTTTCCAGCAAAAAAAAAAAAAAGTGACCAAATAGACATGAGAAGCAAAATTATTGAAGACATTAAGATTTCTTTTTAGAGAATGTATCTTGAATAATTTCATGCACCACTGTGATTCGTTTTCTTTCTTTACGCAAAAAAATCACTAATTCTTTCTTAGATTTATGCTGAAACAAAGAGGTATGCAGAAATTATTCTCCCCCCTTTTTTTTTTATAAAAATCGAAATAAAATCTTCTCAAGTAAATATTCTTTTCTGAAAAACAACAAAAATTTTGATTACATTTTTTTTGTCTGTCTAACACTAGAAATACAGCCTGATGACTTCTGCTCAACATCCAAAATTCACTCAGCCCAACAGTTGGTTTATGACCAGCTGATGATGGGTTAACACACACCCGACACATTTTTCTTTGGGGGTGATGTGTTTCTAGTGTTGATTCAGGGTAATCCGGTCATAAATCAGGGAAAGAATTGGAAACTAAATGTGGACATTGACTTATGAATGTATATAGCTTAATGCCCTCAAAATACCTCATTTGATGAGTGTTTTATTATGTTGGCAGGCTATGCTTATGCACACACGCTCACAGACAGTGGCCAGAAACAATACACTCCAAACAGCTGAGTGTGTGATCCTGCTGAAAAGTTGAGTGTAATTAATGTTGAGTGTTTAATCCCTGACACCCCTGCCCTATGACTGCAACACACACATGCATAACTGAGAAGAGGTGTATGTATGCGTGTGTTTAAACCTGTCTGACAGCTCTTTCAGTTCCACTGGAGCTCCGTTAAACAGGGTTTTCCACCTTTATAGCAGTGTTTGAATCAAGGAGTAGAAAAATAAACAGAACTGTAGGGAACATGAATGAATATACTTGTATCCAGCAGAGTGACTTCAATATCAACATAATTGTAATATCAAATAGACATTGCTTTCACTCCACATACTTGTAACCATATGATGACCATATAGCCTAATGTACTAAATGGGCGTCTTGGACCACTGTGTCGCATATCATGAGCATGAACCTTTAGAATGAGTGTTATTTTAGTAATATTTACAGTTTTATAGCCTTATAGTTTTTTATGCTTTTATGTTTATATTTTCAGTTATTTTTATGTAATTTTGTTGTTTTTCTCATTCTTCTTAGTTTCTTAATTCTATAGTTTTAATTTCTTTTCATTTCAGTTTGTTTTAGTATTTCAGCTTAAACTTACTTCAACTTCAACTTATTTCTGTTAGATCCCAAGGCAACATTTCAAATGAATAGTTTCATAAAATAACAGCTTTAGTTAGTGATATTACTGCTTAAAATATGCTCCTTTTACATTATTGGAGCGGTAAGGCATAGTGGTTAAAGATATGAATTGGTAGGTTCAAACGTGAAACATGAGCTTTCACTATTGTGCCCTCGAGCGAGTCATCTAAACCCAGGTTGATCCGGCGGATTGTCCTTAAGCGTATGATAAGTCACTTTAGGTCATGTCTGCTAACTGACTACTTACCTATTTGGGGTCCAAGCAGCAAAGGTATTTGAACTGACATTCTTATTATTCAGTCAATTTAGTTCAATGTAGTCAAATTCTACCAATAGGGGGCACTATAACAGAAAAATGGTAATAGCTCGATTGAATTGATCGAGGAATTTAAAATTTAGTGTGGTGTTTCTTTGCTACAAATTCTAACATATTCTAACTAAAATGTCATAATTTTCTGAATGTAACAATAAAAATGGCAGCCAATGGCCAATCAAAATTCAGAATTCAATTATTTCAATAGCAAATGGTTGATCATAATGAAATTTGGTACACATGTGCAGAGAGCCTTAACAAGGCTATGTACCAAATGTTATGAATACTAGCCACAAGTTTGCACTATAACAGGTAAGTTTACACATAAATTATAACTAGGGCTGCACGATTAATCGCATGCGATATTTAGCCGTTGTTCACTGACGAGCAGCGCAAAAAATCGCGCGAATATGAACGTGGTTTAGCGCAGCTCGTCAGTGAACAATGGCTCTGTGTAGTTAATGCTGCTCAATGTGAAAGCCCGCAGGTGATGGAGATTTA